ACGTTCCAAAAATTTACGCGCTGCACATCAAGTACGGCGTGCGGCCAGGGAGAATCGAATCTGATCGACCATATATTATAGCCGGCTATGGCTATTAAACCTAGACATAGTCACGTAGGGATGAACGTTATCGTTAACTAACGATAGTTTATCACTTTTTCATCAAATAAGCAGAACGTAGCTAAGTATTACTCCCTTTACTTTCGGAGCAACTGTCATTTAAAATATAGACCTCGATTACAGTGTTATTCGTGTCAGCATCAGAAAATATGGGAATAAAAGGAAGATTCTTTTAGTAGAGTATCATGATAGATTGATCAGAAACGTTGTGTAGGACGAAAGTCTGATACAATGTTTAATTTTTTGCGAGTGGTAGGGCCCTTTTCCCGGTATGAATGCCCTCTCGAAATGGAACCGGGGATGCTCTTCACTCCTGCCTGGAGAAATCGTTGATCATTCGAGTTTCTTTTGCGAGAAAGTTTCCAAGTTGCAGATCTGTGTTCGAGCCTTAGACAGAAGTCAACCTTTCTAGGAGTTTTGTAAGGGGTTTTAGGGAATCCGTTGTGAGAAAGCTAGCATAAAGAGGAAGTGCATTTTTTGCATGGCGAGTACAATCATTGGGAACAACTGCGCCTTCGAACTCCTGGGACGACACATCCCACCGCTATTACTGCTGCAGAACACGAGCTGCCTCTGCTTAGAACATATGAAAAGTCCTCTTAATATCCATTATGTACTTATAGAATTTCAAGGCAGATTCAGACGCGTGTGGTGCGAAAAATTTATTACGAAAATGCTTCTCGCCATTGATATTGTTCGGGGATAAGAAAAGTGGCGTTCCAGCTTTTTTTTTTGCCTTTCAGCGTATCCTAATAATTGTCGTAGGGGTCACCTTTATGATTGCCAATTGATGGAAATCTGGAGAATTTTAGCGGAAAAGTGAATAATTTAATTAAGAATATTAAAACAGTTCACTTCGTCGAGAGAATTGTATATTCAAGACAGGTTCGCTGAACGAAAACCGAATTATGTAGACTTACATTCGTTCAATTCAGTCTGTTTTTGTCGAAAGGTTATGCGTATCGCAGTGTTATGTCAAAAATGTGTTAAACCAATTCCAATCCTAAAACAAGGGATTTCGCTGAATGGAAGGCTCCTGCTTGCCAACACCGTGACTGTCCGTCTCTGGAGTGAGAGTTGGAAAAAATAAATTAAATTAATAAGACTCTTATCCCCCTCCTCTCCTCTCCACTGATCAAGTCATTGAAGGGCCTCAACTGGTTAGCGGTTTCTTCTGTTTCAGAGGGCAAGGTATACGTGCTCGGTATACATTAAACCGGTACATACGCATTTAATGTCGCCTATACGTGCTTCTGAGTGCTGAACCATTCTCACTGACGAGGGATGAGGCGCTGTAATACGAGCTTCAAGTCGAGAAAGGCACTGGGATGGAGCGCGTGCCTGTGCATATTTGCCAACACCGAGCATCTTGCTTTGTTGCTTCATTAATCTGTAGCTAAACTCGTGATTAACTTAGCTCTCAGTGGCGTATGAGCATTTCTCGAACTCTCCAATAGTTATCGCTTGATCATTGCTTGGAATTGGTTTTCTAACTCAGCTTTGCGTTTTTAATGACCGAAGGACAGGGTCGAATCAGATTCCTTAGGCCGAGCCCGGAATGCTCCGATTCGTGCAGGCGTTCCCGGCTGGGTGGGGAAGAAATTCGAGTGCAGGTGGAGAGGAGTGTGTCAAAGAAGCAACTGTGGAAATATGCGCACTTGGATGAGGGAAGGAAGGCAGGAGAGAATAGCAGAGCATGCGCGAGAACGCTCCCTTAACTAAGGAGAGAGCACACTTCCCTTTTGGTTCCTCTGACCCGTACGGTCAGTCTCCGTCACCATACATTACAGTACCGAAGGGTAGAAGCGACACTACACGCTGAAGCAGCCTTTTTTAATTTGCCGCTGATGACCTGTTCGATCGCGATCCTCATTTAGACCCATGAGGTCGTCTGGAGGCCGACTTCACATCCACAAGGTTGGGGGATCCATTTTCTCCTCCCGCTTTCGTCGTCAGTGTCACATGTCCCATGAAGAGCGTCATGCACGCCTTCGTAGTTGTTCTACCCGTCTGCATCTTAAAGACGCTTTGAGATGAATGGGGTGATTGTTAGGCAGGAGTCGTTGCACTTTAGAGAAACCGTGCATGAAAGTTCTCATAACTTGCGGCATCGGGGAATTCCCGTAGAGTCCATGTTAAGAAAATACCATTAATTGTTCAATCTTCCATCGATTCAAAAGCGCAGCAGGAATTGATGATCTTTTCCTGCACGATACCCATACCGACATAGGTATGTGAATGCCCTCCGTGGTGTTATTCCTTGAAGGAGAGAGAAACAAAACGAAAGCTGAATCCGGGCTGGGAGGGAGTAATTATAAACTCTACCTGCTATCCGCTTAGCGACCCTAAGGGCCGCCCTTTTTCCTTTCTTTACCCTCAAGGGGGAGGGACGAGCAGATAGCTAAAGGTCGATGTAGCACTGATGAACTAAGTGTGCAGTTCCGTCATTGAAACAGAATTGCGACCTTCGGAATCGGGCAGCTGGAATCCGTCAATGGACCTCCCAGGCGTCGTCCGTTCTCATTCTCGTTTCGATGCTGAGTCATTCCATCGCTTTATAATTAATTAGTCTCCTGGACAATGGGCGATGGGTCGATGTCTGTTCTTTATCGCTTTCCGGGAATGTCAGCACTTATGCAATTAGATAAACACAGACGGTATGATGACTCATGACAGCTATCTTTCGTGTCACCGTGTCGCCTTGACTCGATGTAATTAGCGGTCTTGTGCTGTTTCGTGTCAACGATCTCGACATAATTTGAAAGACCACGAAACCGTGTTCCTAGTTTCGAAGACACGCCCAAAGGTCTCCCTGTCCCGGCTCCCGCATTCCGCAACTCCATTTTCCCGCTTGGAGCTAAGGCACTGGCATCAAATAGGACTTTAGAGTAATTATTTTTATTATACGTGTTTTGAGGTCTTCCTGCGGGAGAATCCAGAAGTCGCTCTGGTATTTTGGAGGCCATGTCAGGAACTGTTTACGATCGATGGGAAATTGTCGATCAAGGACTTTAGAGTAATTATTTTTATTATACGTGTTTTGAGGTCTTCCTGCGGGAGAATCCAGAAGTCGCTCTGGTATTTTGGAGGCCATGTCAGGAACTGTTTACGATCGATGGGAAATTGTCGATCTCGCACTTGGGATTTCCTGCCGTATGAATCGAACTTAGCTCTTTTCTGCGTGTTTACGCTTGCTTTCCAAGGCCTCCGTGTGTCAAGGTCAATTCATTCATGTGAATGTTCTGACGGATGCTTTTTTTTGTTCGATGCCTTTGTTTCCAAGAAGAATGGACGAGCCGAAAACGGCGACAGTCATTCATCTCAGTATGCACACAGGTAAATGCATGCGAGGTGATTCTGTCTGTCTGTTCAGAAGACTTACTGGGTGCAGCGGGCATTTGGTGGATATGCTGTGTTAGAGCCTTTTAATACCCATGTGCAGAGCCTGGAAAGAGGGGAAAATCCTAGAAGTGAGTGGTAGAAAATAACGGAGGGAGGTGAAAATATCCACTTCATCTGTCTTTTTATGTTCTGAATGGGAATAGTTCTAAACGGCGACAGATCTTGATATTTGCGTGCACCAAATCTGATAATCCGACTCTACGATTGGATTTCACGTTAGTCTATTTTCAAAATGGACTGGTCTTATTCTTCAGAATCTCATTATGCAGGGAAGATTACAGTGCTTCGTTCACATCTTCGTCTCCGGTTTCTTCCCTGTATGCTGAAGGAATTGATTTCATGGTCAAACAAGGCAAGGGTGATATCACCAAAAGCTAGAGAGAGCTTAGTGTGACGGATGAGGATGGCATCGAGAGGCTCGTCTGAATGTCCGGGGTTCGGTGGTGTAAAGGTAGCACACCTGACCGGCAATCAGGAGGCCCGGGTTCAATCCCCGGCCGTTCCTTGGCTTCTTTCGACCTCTCATGCCTTCCATCGTCCGTCTCCCACTTTCCCTCCGTAACAGTAGTAAAATTATATCTTGGTGTCAAGTGCTCTTGTAGATAATGAAATCGAGACTCCTGATCTACGCAGCTTTTACGAGGACAGTACAAAGTTGGATATTACTTTTTCCATTCCGTAAATGAGGGCTTCCATTCTAAATGAAATTCCAGGATGCCGAATTTAATATCGTAAAGGCAGTACGTAATTGAGGTGTATTACTACTCGAAGCGCAGTCACTATTCACTATTCTGTATGCATGGAACCATGTGATGTTAGGGAAGTGCATATCACCTTTTCTGAATTCTAATGCACCATTAAAAAAAAAAACTGCTTTTCAGCTGATGGGACGGACTCTACCATCTTCCCTTGGTCGCCCTGTCGAAACTCTTGCAAGTTGTCATTTAGTATACAGAAGTAAATGAGACAAAGAGGACTTTCCGATTATATAAAATTCGCCGTGGTCTCGGCGCGAAATTTCGAGAAATGAACAAGAAAAAAATGAATGATATCTTTTGAAGAAGTACGGGGAAGTGCTCTGTTTACATTTGGAACGAGATAATTTCTTTCAGTGCGTCGTAATTTGGCATGGCATTTATTGAGGTCGAATCTCACCGCTTTTTCTCGATCCCGAAGGATTAACCCTTTCATGGCGTATGGTGCCAAATGACATCATTATTTTCGAAATTCCCCCAGAACCATCTTGTGAGGTGAATTTGTAAAATTTTGTAGTCAACAGATAACGTTTGAAGCGCTCTTTCGAATGTGTATGTGCATTGAAGTGGTTTGACTAGTTGAGAGTACACACATACCTGTGAACGTGATTGTGACAACAACTGAAGAACTGCATGAGAATCACAAAGTACGTATTTTGTGATTTATTGTTTGGTTTTGTTTTTTGAAATATGATCGGTTGGGAAAATTTATGTGAATAAATAATGATTGTTAGAGTTTCTTTGTAGCAACTTTTAGACCGAAATTGTTAACGGAGCCTCTTGATAAGGCGGATGATGCCATGTGGCATCATGTCTGTATTTTTGGAATTAATAAATAAATTTGTGAAATTCTTGTAGTATCTCATTGTATGAACCATAACTACCCTATGATTTCGATTTGCGATTTTTTTTGCGGCGTATTTCGAAACTCAGCCCTGAAAGGGTTGAAACATGCCTCATTTTAAATGCTTTTGTATTTTCATTATATCCAGAGACCTGATGGGTCACTTTCGAAGGATTCTTACAAAGCAAAGCGGAAGAGCTACCGCCTGGAGAAACAGAGAGTTGCAAATGAATTGGTGACTGCTTTGCAAGATCCAGCTATTGTCATCTTGGCAGATTGGCTGAAAGTTCGTGGATCACTCAAGGGTTGGACGAAACTCTACTGCGTTCTCAAACCTGGACTCCTTCTCCTCTATAAAAGTGATAAGCTCAAGGTATGCTTTCTACCTGCCTTGCGTTTTACTGTATGCAAATATCTTCACTTGGCTCGTTCCTTCCATTGAGACCTCGGGTTAACTATGCTTCTCAAGCGCACAGATGAAGTAGGCCTAGACTTACTTGAAATGAAGTGATGCGCCTGCATACGAAGATGCGAAGTTGTCAAGATACATAAATTATCACAGTAGGACATTGCGAAGCAATGTTAACCCAGATATACCTGGCATTACTAAACGAAGGACGCATGCTCTATATGAAGGCGCATCTCTGCACGCCGTCCTTAGGACGCCAGGCATATCTGGGTTAATGCACATGAAGTTCAGGTGAGGGTCAGATCAGAGTTTTTCATTCTACAGATATGTTCATTATTCCAATCGCTACTTCTGATGCTACAAAGAATATATAGGTAGTCTGTCCAATGAGGTTTTTCTTTGTCATCTGATTGTCTTGAAGGTCACTATAAGACATCCTATAACAAAAAGACTGCAATTCCATTATATATACCATTTTTATTTGGAAGGGAGCGTCTGAGAAGAATGTTGCATAATTGAAGTGTCTTTATACTTTTGTGTACAGAGCAACCACTGGGTGGGCACCATCTTACTGAGCAGCTGTGAGCTGATTGAGAGGCCATCCAAGAAGGATGGATTCTGTTTCAAGCTCTTCCAACCTCTCGAGCAATCCATCTGGGCCACCAGAGGGCCTCAGGGTGAAACTATGGGTATGTTTGCTTGTAGCTATCACAAGTCATGTCTTTTTTGTGATGCATTGCTGCTTAAACAAATGCTTAGCAAAACAAGTCTTTGAATAATAAAGTAAAAGTTATTTGCCAGTTTTTTTTCTCTATGTATTTTTCAAGACCATGGGAAAATGAGCCATGAACTTGGTGATTGATTGTGCATACTTATCCATACAGGTGCTGTTTGTCAACCTCTACCGACATCTTACTTGATCTTCCGAGCACCATCACAAGCAGCAGGGAAATGTTGGATGGATGGTCTGGAGCTGGCTCTCCGTTGTTCATCTCTGTTAAAGCGAAGCTTGGGACAGGAAACCCCTGAGCTCAATGGGTCACAGGATGACCCTGGCCTTGATGTAGAGGCCATGTCTATCCCAGAAATGCTGGATCCACAAGAGGCTGCATGCCTGCCAGTTCTAGTTCTAGATGATACTGATGCTGAAAAGCACTTCAAGGGATATGGTTAGTGTTAAGTTCTTTGGATTTTGAAATAATCTTCTCTCATGAGTTCTCTTGTCTAATTCCATTTTTTGAGGATAGGTCATTTGCTTCATATCGATTCACTTTTGAAGTGTCTATTTTCCAGTTTATAAACATTAAGAAAGTTTATAAACATGTCAGACAAACCTGCTTGGATATGGTTGGAATGCAAGTGCATTCACAATCCAAGTCGCATGCCTTTGACATCTCTTTCACTGAGCTCCCTTGAACTTCTTCTATCTGTGCCTATTGCTATCATTATCATCAGCATTCTTTTGTGCTGCAGGCCTTGAAGATGATGGTGGGAGTCACACTGATGAAACTCAAGAATTGCGACACTCTGAGACTGAAACTGATTCTGATAAGTCTTCTTTGCCAAAAGAGGATGGTGCTAGCATCGGGGCAGAGGAAGTCCTAGAGCAGTGTTACCAACCTCATGAGACTCAATATGTGTCTGCACCTGAGGAAGACCTTGTCCATGTGAGTGGAGATCATCTGCTTCTGTAGGTTGAGAGTGTGAAGATTTTTGGCTCAACTGTATTACACTTCATGGGAGATTTCAGGGATTTTGGCCAGTTTTATACTGGCCAAAGAAAAGACTCCCAGGAAATCTCATCCTTGTGTCACTGGCATTGATGATGCATGAAACATCTTTGTTAAATTTGTCATTTCCAGTTATGGAATGTAATGCTATTTTCCTAATAACCATGTAACTCCAAGAACAATAGAAATAAACCTAAGTAGAGGAAAGATCCAGATGTAACTGTGAGTTTGTGTTTTAAGATGTCCAAAAAGGCAAAATGGAGATGCTGTAGATTTAAACTGAGTCTTGGTGTTTCTTCCATAGATTGGAGAGTCAGGGTCTGGGCAAACAGAGGAATTGGCAGAAGACAATCGCTCAATTCTCTGGTTTCTCTTGAAGCAAGTGAGGCCTGGAATGGATTTGTCACGTGTTGTTCTCCCCACATTTATCCTTGAACCTCGCTCATTCCTTGACAAGCTCTCCGATTATTACTACCATTCTGATTTCCTTGCCAGGTATGCTTCCAAGTCATGTTTAAACTTCTTGTAATTCTAGCATTTCTTTGGTGATTACCTGAATTGTAGAAATGCTTCTTTGTGGCAATTTACTAAGTGGAGTTATTTTTGTATATGATGTATTGCTTTTCTTCCTGTTGAGACATCTCATCCATTATTGCAAATGCTTGACTTGACTTGACAAGAGAGACTTTAAGCTTGAGAAACCTTGAAGTCTCATTTGTTCTCTTGTTAAGCATAACTTGAGAAAAAGCCATAGATATATTTTTACACTAAGCTATATGGGAATGTGTCAAAAGAAAGCTAGTATCTACTGAAAAAATTCTCTCTGCTTTGTGAAGTCCATTTTGTTGAGACTATAGACAGTCCATGTTTAACAGAAGCAATCATTTGGTGATGAAATCTGCTATATATTGATGATGAGGTATATCCTTTTCTTGTGTCACAGGGCAGTTAATGAAAATGACCCATTCAAGAGGATGAAGGAAGTTGTACGTTGGTACATGTCTGGATTCTATAAGAAGCCTCGTGGGTTGAAGAAGCCATATAATCCAATCCTTGGGGAGACCTTTCGTTGCTATTGGCTTCATCCAAATGGATCTAGGACATTCTACATTGCTGAACAGGTGAGAGTCTTGTATGGATTTCTGCCATGCTGATTATGTCATAAATTCAATGCCAGTATTGCAGTGCCTTATCAGCACTTAATAAGGTCAACCTGTAGAAGCATGGGAACAGTATAAATAGGAGGCAATGGGCTGTACACAGCTCTATGCAGCCACTGGTCCATTATCCCCCCCTCACCCTAGATGCTGCACTTGATAGGATTTTCCTGCTTCCCTTACAGGGAAGCTTGAAAGCACCCCTAACAGATGAGACCATTTGAATGGTCTCATTTGTAAGTGCTCCATTTCAGATTATGCATGGATGCTCATATCCTCTACATTTGCCTCCCTTTTCACCAATGAACACTAATGTACACCAAATCAGCTAACTTGTTCCTAAGTAGGCTAGTACACACCAGCCCCAAGAACCAATGAATTTGCTTTCTTATTCACATACCGTGACATAGTTCATTTGCCATGGGGTGCCCAGCCTGAAGCACCCTTGGGCAGATCAGGCTAGGCTAAACAGTCTCATGTAAGATGGGCACCCCTAACATTATGTTTCTCATCTTTTGGCTTCTGTCCAGCATTAAACACCTACATTTTTCTTCCTGAATGAAATGCAGAACTACTTAGCTTGGTAATTTAGACCTACTAAGAACCCTAAGGAATTTTGGTACTTGTGGGCTAACGGGGGAATGGATTTTTTTGTTCCAAAAGCTTTAGTAGGTTTTCACTAAACCCAAGTGCACTCTAACCTCAGAGAACTAGCAATAAACACATACCCCGGGAGCCGCATTCCTTCTATGTTGGGCCGAAAGAGAGTGAAAGTCAACCTATTTTGGAGAATGATGGGTCAGTTTGGTTAGAAAATAATTGCGGCCTTCAGCCATGACCCATTTCTAACCCAACTGACCCATCATCTTCCAAAATAGGTTGACTTTCTCTCTCTTTGGCCTTTGACACTGAACTGGGAAAGGAATCATCAAGGTCCATGAACCTTGCTGATGCGCTGATGGGTCTCACCAGAATGAGGAGGACTAGGCCAGAAGTGCGTATGAAAACCCGACCCAAACATCGTGACTTGGGTCAGTCTGAGAGGACCAACCCGTGACTTGATATGCGATGCTTAGAAAAATTAGGTGCTAATCTATCCATATTAATATATACATGGCTCTACCATTCATCTTGTCTTAGGGGTGTGGGAGTAATTGTAAAGTTAAGCCAAAAAGATTCATGTTAACTCATAAGTACCAGAATTTTCAGCCACCAATAAATTCTTTTTACAAAAAGTCATCCTACCCTCCCACCTGATCACTTAGTCCCCCAATATTCAGGATCACAATTCAACTACAACATGTAATTTAAGTGCTGAACACACAACCTCCCTTGCTTCACTGTACCTCTGTAATCTTTCATTTGGTTCTTTTTAATCATCAAAATATTCTTACAGTAGAATTTCATTAATTGACCATACATACTTTCACAAGAACTCATTTTAAAAGCTCCTGCAATAAGTATTACAATGGTATTCCCACTCCAACTAGCAAAGCTGGTGGTAATGCCATTCCCACACCCAAAAAAATGGGAACCTTGTTCTCACATTCTTCACTAGGGATGATCACCCTGAAGTTTTCATAAAGGCATTGATATATGAAGTACATCTTGGCTTTCATTTTCTGCAGGTATCACACCATCCTCCTGTGACAGCATGTTATGTGTCAAACCGTAAGGAAGGCTTCACTGTGAGTGCATCCATCCTAGCCAAGAGCAAGTTCTATGGGAACTCCACATCAGCCATATTGGAAGGGATAGCACGGCTCACACTTCTCCCAAGGGGTGAAGAATACCTCATGACGTTGCCATATGCCCACTGCAAGGGTTTGTTCATGGGCACCCTCACCTTGGAGCTTGGTGGGAAAGTGAACATCAGCTGTGACACCACTGGTTACTGCGCCGAGCTGGAATTCAAGCTCAAGGTTCTCCATTTAAGTCATTTTCATCTTGGCATAGGGATGTAAAAGTTTTGGTTTATTTTGAGATAGATACCCCAAGTGGGAGCAAATATTTTGAATTGTTGTCTCTTCATAGTAGAGTTTGCTTGGTAACACAATATGTCTTTTCCTTCATCAGCCATTTCTGGGTGGATCAGAGAGTGTGAATGCAATATCTGGGAAGATTTCACTGGGAAAGACCTAACTTGCCATCATGTAAAAGGAGAGAAGTACTGGTACTACTGTGTTTTCCATTTGAGTTTGATACTCATCACTGGAGTCCAGCAGGGATTCATTTGATTGTGGAATCTATATATGAAGGTGGCAATTACAAGAGGCTTGGCCTGAATGAAATGCACTGTGTAGTGTTGGCTTGCATGTGTCTTCTTGTACCCACCCTTCAGCAGTTTTCACTCTTGTTTTCAGCATGGAAATTGATCCGATGTTACTTCCTGCAGAAATTGCCATTTTAATAACCTGGACAAACCAACATGAGGGAAGTAGCCCTGTGGAAAGTCTCTCTCTGGCTGGTGATCTGACTGGATTTGATTTTAATTAAGGGAGCTTTAGTTTTGGTTCCCTCTCATTTTTACTGCATTGAGACAGATTCTTCCCTGTTTCACTTCTATCACTCCAGAATGCTTGAAGGTTGGCTCCCATAGCTTGATCCCCAATCATCTGACTCACAAATCATATCATTCATAGAAACTGTTGATATCCCTGACTTGCAGTTCAAGACTTGAGTCATCAATTGGTTTAAATGTTTATTATCTATTACTTATAGATGAAAGAAGTACTCTGGAGCCCAACAGCAGAGATGCGAGCACAGCGACTGAAGCGGTTCCTTGTTCCTCTAGACCAACAAGGCCAATGGGAATCTGAGAAGCTCTGGTTACAAGTCTCTGAGGCAATTCGAGCTAATAACCAGGTAGACCTACCATTCTTGTCCTTTTTGCATCTTTTTTGAGCTCATCATTCCTTTGAGGCAAGCTTTTAGTGGAAAGCTCCTATTGAAGCTGCTTAATATTGTGGAGCAACTGAATCAACATAAACATCCTCACCTAAAGTGACCCAGTAAACTACTTGAAGTTGTTAGTGTCTCCCAAGTGGGTTATTTATTGTTGTTTTGGTCTATAAAGACAAAACATCCATCTACAAAGTGGTCATGAAATCTTTATTGATATTCAAAGTTGATTGCAAACCATGGGAGGTAGAAGTAAGAAATGCAAGAGAGGACACATCGAAGGATGAAAGAACTGAAAACTGGAATCCAGAATGAAATGAAAAATGGAAAGCCTTGGGTGAAGTAAACTGTTGTAAATAACAAAAATATAATCTGGTCATGAACATTCTACCTACAATTCAGTGACATTTGATTCTGATGTACAAAATGCTCATTTTCGATATAGTCCTCAAAATAATCTCAATTGAAATATAGATTCTGCAGGTTTTTAGCTTTCCAGTCATGCATTGATTTTAATGCATCTACTAGTATTTTGACAAGGTTGATGTTTTCATTAAATGATTTTGGTTAAATTACTCATCCAAGTTGTTAATTGTGAATAGCATTTGCACATGTATGTATCCTTTTCATGTATGCTTTTTTTGAGCACTGAATTACCATAGTTTGAAAAGAAAAGGCAGTTGGAAACAAGATTTTGTCTTCATTGACCAATTAATTTTCCCATTTCCCTTTTTTCTGGAAATATTCTGAAATGCCTTGTGAACATATTTTTCTGAAAAATGTATGGCTCTTCCCATGAGGTAGCATCAAGTATTAACAAAAAATAGTTTAGATGAGTGAAGGCGAATCTGAGTAATATTTGACCTGCCTTTTAATAGGAGTGGGCAACTGAGGAGAAGACGAAACTGGAAGATCAGCAGAGAAATGGAGCCAAGGAGAGAAAGCTGAAGGGAGAGGAGTGGGTCCCTATATACTTTGAACAGGTGAGTCCAGGTCATGTCCATCATCTCATTCTCTTTGCTCAGGAGATCTATGTTCATTTAATTTGTAGACAGTTTCAGGTTCTTAGAAAGCCTGATCCTGTTCATGAATTAAATGAACAGCCCTCATATATAGCAGAATATAGTCTGCTTACTGGGATTGGTGGCAGAGTGGTTCTGGCTTTTGTGTGAAACCTGGGAGGCAAAGAGTAAAGTCTGGGTGACTGCAGGCTCTTTTTCCATTGACCCATCTGCTTTTGTGGGGAGTGTCTGCTTAGTGTGGGTAACATGAATTCCACTCTTTGCCACATCTAGGAGATATGGGTACTATACACATTAAAAACCACTCATGCCAGTCATGAGCTTAAGCAATCTATGAGCTGCCCCAAGGCCCCACAGGATTGTGGAGGGGTGTCATAGCCCGAGAGACTGTGATTTAGGTGTGATGCCTGTGCTGAACAGGCAACCCTTCCTCTCTTTGTATAGTAATCCATTATCATTTGTGTCTGCTTCATGTCTTGTCATTTAAAATAAAAATATATATATATAGTCTGCTTGCACTGACAGCTATCTCACCTCCAGACAGAGGCCTCTTCCATACCTCTTGCTTCTTTGTAAACCTATTACCTCAGTCATGTCTTGCCAAATATACATAGAAAGATCCCTTGAAATAAATTAGTAAAATAAACCAATCATGATGAAACATGTTTGTATCCATAGGATCGCCTCCTTGGAGAATGGGTATACAAGCATGCAGACCATCGTCCATGGGACCCAAGTACAGATGTCTGTCAGTATGAAGATAATTATGTGATTCACACGCACACTCGCTTGCAAGGAGCTCCCCTTGTCAAATCAGGCAGTCTCAGCCTGCAGCACTTGGTATGACCTGCCTTCATAGCTCTTATTGTATATATCAAGTCAAATACTCTGAGTAGACTTTTTTGGTTCATTTGGAAAATCATTTTGAAGGAAACAATAAAGCTCTTAGCTTTTTTGTTATTATTGTGGTCTTTTGGGTGCTGTTTTCAGCATTTCAAACTCTCTTCCTTATTGCTGTCAAAGTCTATGCAAGTTGTGCATATGGGAGTGTGAACTTTTTAATGCTAATGTTAACATGACATTTTCTGTCCCATGGAGATGTTTTGAATTTATTTATATATACCTTTTGAGGAATCAACAGGGTGTCCCACATATTGCAGACGATTTTAATCGCGTATAAAATTCTTCCTACTTGAGCAAACTAAACAAAATTTTCACAATATTCAGATGTCTGTTTAGCATTTAGTTTGACAAAGTTTCAGCCAAAACAAATTCACCAATTACAAGCTATGAACTTCAACATGACCCCCTTTGATTTCAAGCACTTTTCCAATCGTGCCTGGTATTCAAGCAACGTTTTATGGCGCATTTCAACGGTAATGTCTCCAAACGCAGCGGTAATATGTTCCTTCAGTTCGGGAATGTGCCTCGGTTTGATCGCATAGACTTTTGACTTGACGAAGCCCCACACGAAGAAGTCGCATGGCATTAAGTCAGGAGAATAGGCTGGCCAGGGCATTGTTGGTAATCCGCGACCCATCCATCGATCCAGAATCTTTTCGTTCAACCAGGCACAAACATCTTTCCCGAAAAGAGGCGGGACACCATCCTGCATGAAGACCAGATCATCAGCCAATCCTTGTGATTCAATTTTTGGCCAGAATTTTCTTTGGATGGTGCCCCGCCTCCTTTTGGTAAAGAAGTTCGTGCCTGGCTGAATGAAAAGTTTCCGAAAAATTAAGTTGCAGTTTTGGGAATAATATTCTAAAGACTATGTTCTTGACTCATGTTATATATGTATACTCTTTCCACCAATAGCTGGATGGAGGAGTGCCAGGAGTGACCTTCCAAGAAGAAGATGATACAGGGACTTCAGAAAGCGATGGTCTTGTATCTGGTATCCCAAAACTGCGACAAAGACCAAGGGGGTCTCTTTCTAAGCTCGCCTCAGCATTGATTTCTGCACCCCTTGTCAGTAATGATGCACCACGTTTTAGTGAATCTTCACTTGGTGTGGATCCCTCTAGGTGAGAAAGTTCACCTTCATACACAGGATAAAGGACAATATCTGTGCTTAACCATGACTTTCTGGAAGATTTCTCCTCATGCAAGTGGCAAGTGGAGTGCTTGAATTCCTCCTGGCTAGTAGCATTTTAATACCAGTTTTCCGGGAAATGGAGATAAAAATAGAAAATTTTAAGAAAACATTTTTCTGGCTGAGTTCTCTTGTTTCAAGTATTTCAGAGAAAATTTGATTGATTTCAAAAAGCAGGAGTGTAGCTATCACTATTCATTTTGCTTATCTCCTTAGAATTATGTCTATGAACCATTCTGCTCATTCATGCAGAGATGTTCGTGGGAGTACAAAGAGTAAAACAAGTTGGGCAAGCCTAGTCCAATAGTGGGCCTCCTTTCAGTTAAGGAAACTCTCATTTTGTCACCTAATTGAACAAAATGCCATCTCTTTCCGGTCTTTCACCATCAAAAACCTCTTTTCTCATTTATATTTGGTAAACATAGACAAATGGTGCCCAAAAAAGGGTGATGGGAAGATGGAGGACTGTGCATGATTAAATCCATCTGCCACAAAGATGGAAGGGAACTGTCAGCTCTAGTTGCTGACATGGTGCCACACCAAAAGCCTTGGTTGTATGCGCATGCGCATTGTGGTCCAGAACCTGAAGGGCTCATGGGTACTCATGCCTTCCCCTCTGTAATCAAATTTCAAATCCAAAATTTGCCATAAAAATGCCAATTTTTATGCTAATTTGTCACAAAGCAAACTCAGCCTATCTTGTTCATATCTATCTGCTTGCCAATTTGTGCATTTATCAGGCTAATATTTTTTTAGTTATTATAATTTTCATTATCAAAATAGGTGATGAAAGGAGAACAACACGACCTCTGCCTCTTTGATAAGGCGTGCACAAACTTTCCTTTGCTTCATTGGCTGAGGCAAATGCATCAGCAGGCTTGTATGGCACACTTTTTTACCTATCAAGTTTGAACTGGCATAGAATGTGATGCAATGCCTCAATTTTAATAAAATTTGGTAATTACCTTCTTTACTCTATTAACATGTAGTCTTTAAATAATTGCATCGATCTGATGAAAGTACAGGAAAACCTCATTAATTTGAAATTCAGGGGACCAAAAAATACTAACTTCGAAATAAGCGGGTTTGAATTATCCAGTTTGGCCATTGTTATTTTGTAATACTGTACTAAATCTGCATGTTTTGTGCTTTGTATTCTCTTCCTTTTGTTGGTTTCATGGCCACCTTCTGCCAGCTTTTCAATGGTGCCACAATAAGGAATGTGGATAGAGTTGAAAGTGGTATGCCAAATTCCTCTGCGATATCGGTCTTTGATTTTACTTTCTTGTCCACTTCACAAATAGCTTCCAACTCCTGTGAAATACTTAACTTGTTGTACTTCCTATTGTTCACCACGGCACATTCACCCCCATTTCACTCACAACACAGAGAGAGAGGGAGAGAGAGACTGTGCTGCAGCAATGAAAAGTTTTTTGTGTGAAGGTGTGCATGATATAGGTAAGAACAGAGAGGGAGATTTAGTGAAAGGGGGCATTAGCCTATATTTAGAATTCTTCTGAATAGAAAAATGAAGTTTCCAAGGCAATTAGCTGGCTTGCAGCCATTTAGAGTGCGAGGTTTAAGGCAGGTCATCTGTAGATCGTAGGGAAAAGGGCCCTTCGAAGTAAACAAACAAGTTTCTGAGTTTATAGCTTACGGGACCAGAAAATGCCTTCGAATTTCATAGTGTCCATATTTCTAATTATCTGTACTATAAAGCATACACATCATTATCTTCTCAGACAGGGAACGGAAATGACTTCGAAGTATCTGTTACTTCAAACTATCCAATATCAAATTAACGAGATTTTCCTGTACTGTCATTAGTGAAAATGATTTGGCACAGTTTCTTTTAAAACACCAGGTATATACAGATATGGAATCTTGACTATTTGCTTAATTTTTATCATGACTTCTGACAGCTGTGTTTTAATATTTGGATCCTAATTATCACTGGATATTAATCATACAGTGTAAAAAAATATTTACCTTTTGGCTGCTATAAAGTAACTTAGTTATCAACATGGATACTTCAAATGTTTCTAAACATCATCAAAAGTTTACGAAAGAAGGTAACTAATTGCTAACTTTGCTAAATTTTTACATTTACTACTTCCCAAGCATGGGGCTAAAACATGGTCTTGCATGCTTTTGTAGCCTAAGTTGCATATTTGTGTTCATGTTGTTTTCTTCGCCTATCATTGATATTGTAATAATGTGACACAATCTGCTGGCTTAATATAGGTTGATTGAAAGAGTAAGTATGAACTGACTGTAGCATCCTTATTATCAAAGAAGAGTTGAGTGTGATGTCTATATTGCACACATGTGGGGAGAATTCTTTTGTGATGATATCCAGTTCCTCTGACAAAGTATGAACAAGGAAATGGGATATCGTGCTTGCAGGCTCAAGTGTCTTGGTGAAGGAAGGGATGAGATCCAGAAGCACCTGGCTCGTCTTAATTTCAAATTGGACGAACTTCAACGGGATGTAGGGAGTCGAAACCTCTGGCGAGAAGCCCTGCTCCTCCTCCTCTTTTCCATCTTCCAGGCCATCTTCCTCAAGTGGCTCCTTCGCACATGAGCTACAAATACTCACTCATCTGCATGGGCACTAAGCTAATACTCCCTCTCTTCTCTTCCATTCTGTTCCACATGCACACAAAGCACAGTCTCTTGCATTCCAGTCAATGTGTGCTACTTATTTTCTTCAGAAAATATAAATCTCCAAACACATTCCTTCCTCCTGAATCTTCCAGAGCCCTCAATTAAACACTATGCATAAGAATTTTAAAAAATATGGAAATGTACTCTCGCTCTTTCTCTCAAGTAATTTTTTTTCTTTTTTGTTGATACTTTGATATTTTACTGAGTACTGTCCTAATCCCAGGGTGATGGATGGCACTTTCTTGTATCTGATGCCATACTGTGGGTTTGATCTCGAAAATGATCTGTTTACAAATGCATGTAATGTGCTACAAGTCCATTATTGCAATAGTTTCTGATTCTGTTGTGTCCTTCCGCAAGTTATTTATTAATTTATTCAGAGTGCATTTTCCAATGTCACTCGAGGGCCAAGCTAGCTGCAGTGCCTGATCTCTTCAGAAGAGGTTAATTCCGGTGACTATGTGACCATTTTTTATTTCTTAGAAGATGGCATTTTAGGAAGGAAACATGACTTAGTAACATCTTTGTGGCGTTTTCTTTTCTCTGTCTTCTACATGAAGATCCTCCATCCAATTCTGTTCTATGCTTTGAAAGGCATCAGCCTCTGTCACTGCGTAAATCGTTCTGAACTCCCTCGGAAAGCATGATTTGCTGAAATGTGGCGGTGTGTTACTGGAGCATTTTCCTCACTCTGGGACTGGAATTTGTATGGACTACTTGGTTCAGGTTCAGATCTAGGGTTATTGTGCACTTGTTTAATTGGGGTAAATATCACATACCTTTGTGGCGTCTTATTACACTAACTTCCATTTCTTTTTTAGTGACCAATCAGCAAGGTAGTTTGATAGCCGTAATACTACTGCTGTTGAATAGCATGCCCATTCTGCGCATTTCCTGCAATTAGTGATCTGCTCACTCAAGACGGAGTCAGTGGTAACAAACACATGTACTGTCGTCCTTTGATGTTCTCAAGTCCTTTCAGTCGCTCCCTGCAACATGTGATCAGTTACCAAGTACAAGAGGCTCAAGGCCCAAGGATATACATTCTTTAACTTCAGCAAACCTCCTTCACTTCCTCCCCACCCCCAAACCTCATCTTTGCAACTGAGTCTGGTGCTGAACCAGAATTTTTTAGTAGTGGAGTGAGGGATGAGGAGTCTTGGAATGTCCAAGAAAAGTAATTTTAATATAAAGGAGAATAAAGTTTTCCCGTAGGGTTATTTAAAGTTCCATTCCCTATAGAGCAGGGGTCGGGAACCTTTTTGTCTATGTGAGCCATATTAAGATCGAGCGATCTTTGCTCCTGAGGCAAAGATTTTCGAAAAAAAAGTTTTCCTGAAGTTGGCAACAAACATGCATTCTTTGACACATGAGAAAAATGAGGAACAGTCATGTTTTTTAACCATAACTCATGAGCCAAACTTTTCGGTTCGTGAGCCAAATTTGGCCCATGAGCCATAAGTTCCCGACTCCTGCTATAGAGGAATATTACATTAGCAGGTAATCCAGGAAGCCCTTCCAATGAAGATTGCGTGCTTTCCAGGTTTCCCCCTGATAGGACGACGAGTTGCGTAACTGCCACATAATTAGCCGCATCTCTAATACGCACAAGTTGCCGTTCTATAGTCTCGATGGTTCGCGGGTCCACCTCGCGAGGATCATAAGCGTACCGTGGATGGAAAAAGTGGGGGGTATGAGAAATCTGGGAGACAAGGATATTTCATTTCATGAGTCTTTTCCTTTTTTTTCGGCTTTTCTTGAAAGGTGGGGGGAGCACGTACCCTCCGACGCTACTCCGCTGGGGAGGATTGGAGTCGAGAGATTCAGGAGACCGGATCCGATCATGATACAGGGGTTGTCCGTTGAGAGAGACCAAGACAAACCAAAACAAGCATATCACATTTGACCTAGGAGTAGTATAATGTGGCATATCCTCTCGCGGGAGCGGTTGCAAGTGGGAGTTGGATGCAGCGACATGCAGCCAACTCTTTTTCGGCTAAAATCGCGGTTTTGAACTCCCTCGGGGTTAGCGGGACCCACAGGACTGAATGTCCCTCTCTATGTACTCAAGAGTTCATTTCTGCACCGGTCGTCGCCCGAGGTAATCAGAGCTGCAATAACCATCGTGCTTATGGAGAGACTATTGATAATTTAGCTACTGAGACCAGGCGATTCGATGTTTCTGGGTGTGTCGAACCCCGTCGTATCGCTGCCAGGCCTTCGGTCGAATTGCCACCGATGATGGCGTGTCTTCGATGCAACGTCGAAAGGGCAGACCAGGATCGGAACCGAGAATGACACAGTCAACGGACTTTGGATATCGGGACTCGAAGCGTGCTGAAACTCGAACTAGCGGAAGAGGCTAATAAGCGACGACTACACGTAGCCAGCCTCTCACCGACCGAGAGGAAAGGCACTGGTGGACCCTCTACTGGAGCGGAGTCGACCATCGTTTGCCTGTGAAGGAGCGAAGACACTCGCGCGGTCCCCGGCCGACAGACAGCGTGACGGAAGAAACCGATCGGCGAACGCGAAACGATCAGCCTCAGTCCGGAGCGAGTTGGGATCTCGGCTGCAGTTCGGGTCTGGGGGCCGAAGGGCGAATGGAACTCCAAGAGGTGGATGGGGCCCTTCAAGGGATCCCGGTCTCGTTTCGCCGACGGGGGACTTCAGCACGCGAATCGAGCAAGACGAAGCCGCATCGAGTGTTGCGATCGATCGCTTTGGAGAAACCACGCCGGTGGTTTCCTCGTTCAGACCACGACCGACACCATCCGACCCGACTCAACGCAGGGACTCCCACCCTCGGCCCAGCACCACGGACCGTGAATCCCCCACCGATCACCTGGCGGGGCCTCGCGACTGAAACGAGCACGAAGCGCGTGACGAACTCCGCGCCGATCCTCACCCAGTGCAAGGAACGCACAAACTCATGAGCCATTGGAGCCGTCAATTGGAACCCCAGCTGCAATATACGGAGTATAACAAAAAAAACCGCGTAATAGGCGAAGGAACTGTAGCATGAGGTGGTTGCTAGACCGAGGTGTGATGGAATGGAACCCCTCCAAACCCAGGTGAAAGTGTTCTATGAAAACCTTCATAGAAAGTCCATGAAGACATTCTTTAGAATTTCTTCCAGTTTTCTCGAAAATAGTCTGTGTAGCTATGTAGAGTGGGCCAAAAAAAATGCGCCCGGTTTCAAAATGATATTACAGGATAGCCATAAAAGATAGGATTTTTTTTTTCAAACTTATTTTTCTTCTGTTGCAGGGTCAAAATGTCTCGATTAAATTTTACTTCTGAACGCGCGCTGTGTCGCTATTACTTATTGAGCTTTGATATGCGCCTCAACGATAATGATTATTTGTACTAAATTTAATTGAGGCGTTTTGAACCTGCAACAGAAGAAAGGATTAATTAGTACGAGGGTCACCCCAAAAGTAATGCTCCCGATTTTTTTCAGACAAATGATTTATCACAATTGAACGCAAGTACACAGTAATAGTTAGCAATA